GATTTGTAGTTGTCACAACAAACCCCAAGAAAACTAAAGCTCAAGAAGGTCAATTTATACAATACAATACAATCCCAGCAAGCTAGCAATTACTAAAATAATGAAGTCAAAATCTGGCCAAGTTGACTCTAAACTCCAAGCTTTCTATCTTTCCACTTTATCATTTAGCTTCTTAAATCAATGAAACTTTCTGCATTTGACTAAACACATCAAACCAGCCACATTTTCATTTGGTAAGAATATTAGAAATGGAGAACTAAAGAAAATGGAATTTATAAATTTTCTGTTACTTTCTCAAAAAGGATATTTGTCAACACTTGTTCTTTAATTATAACACAGACATAGTATTTAAATATATATAAGTGAGGTCAATTGGTACAGATTTTTACAAATATAAGCAACTAGCAAATATTAATTTTTAAATCACCTTTTATATTTAATTATACAAATATTACTTTAGGAGAAACAGAAAGGTACAAAATACCTCAAATAAACCACCATTTTCTTCACAACTCTCGTGGCAAAGCCAAAGGACCAGGGGTGCCACATAATCTGGCTTCAGAGCTTCCACAATATCTGAAATAAATACAAAAAAAAAAGTTTATAAAGAAGAACATATACTTTTTCCTTTTAAAGACAAGGTCTCACTCTGGCATTCAGACTGGAGTGCAGTGGCACGATCACAGCTCACAGCAGCCTTGAACTCCTAGGCTCAAGTGATCTCCCATCTTAGCCTCCCGTGTAGATGGGATTATAGGTTTGAGCCACTGCACTCAGCTTTATACATGTAATTTGATCATTTTACTTTTTAAAAATTTCTTTTTTTTTTTTTTTTTTTGACACAGTCTCACTCTTTTGCCCAGGCTAGAGTGAGTGCCGTGGCATCAGCCTAGCTCACAGCAACCTCAAACTCCTGGGCTCAAGCAATCCTTCTGCCTCAGCCTCCCGAGTAGCAGGGACTACAGGCATGCGCCACCATGCCCGGCTAATTTTTTCTATATATTTTTAGTTGTCTGATTAATTTCTTTCTATTTTTAGTAGAGACGGGGTCTCGCTCTTGCTCAGGCTGGTTTCAAACTCCTGAGCTCAAACAAGCCGCCTGCCTCGGCCTCCCAAAGTGCTAGGATTACAGGCATGAGTCACCGCGCCCGGCCTAAAAATTTCTTACTTATAAAATTATAGGTGCTTCAGAGACTTAAGATACACACATAACTAGTCTAACATTCAAGGCTTTTGGAAGAACTTTTTCATCTCAACTGAGACATTTCTGAAGCGCTCTCAAGCTTCTAAAATTGTAGGTATCAGATATACCATTCCAAGATGGATAACAAACTATTCAGGAGGAAAAAAGTTAGAGGTGCCTAGGCAAAGACTGGTGAACAAAACTGTATACAATATGAGACACTTGGGTACCATTCATTCCCAAAACAATTTTGCTCTCCCAGCTATTTAACAAGAATCTAGAAAATTACAAAACAGCCCTGACAATTGTAATGGCAGATAATGATTGAAATAGATCCTACAACCATAACTGATGAGTAATCAAGTATAAGAACTATTCTCCTGTTGCATACTTCTTTACTTTTTTTTAAATTGATAAATAATAGTTGTACATATTTCTGGGGTATATGTGATATTTGATACCACATATAATGTGTGATGATCAAATCAAGGTAATAGGATATCCATCAGCTCAAACATTTATCTTTGTGTGTGCAAAATAAACACATCTATAAAGTTGAGCATTATCTTAGGTGAGAAAAAAGAAAAGAACGTAAGCCACATAGGAAAAATATTTCTGCCTTGTACCTTATTTCATATAATATAAGCAAATATTCTTGCTTTCTAGTTTATTCTCAAACCCCTAGCTTAGCCAGCATTTATTAAATTCAATTTTATAAACAAAAAACCAAGGTTCAGGCTAGGCGGAGCAGCTTACACCTGTAATCCTAGCACTTTGGGAGGCCAAGGCTGGAGGAGTGCTTGAAGCCAGGAGTTCGAGACCAGATTGAGCAAGAGCAAGACCCCATCTCTACAAAAAATAGAAAAATTATCCAGGCATGGTGGTATGTACCTGTAGTCTCAGTTACCCAGGAGGCTGAGGCAAGAGACTCACTTGAGCCCAGGTGTTTGAGGTTGCAGTGAGCTATGATAACACCACTGCACTCTATCCTGGGCAACAGAGCAAGACCCTGTCTCAAAAAACAAACAAACAAAAAAAAAAACTGCAAGGCTCAAGAGAGTAAATAAAATGTGAGAGAAGTCCCATAGCTAGTAATATATAAAGTTCTATGAAATCAAAATTAGAACTTAAGTTTATTTATGCAACCCAGTGTTTGTTCTACAATATTAGATGTCAGGATATCTAGCATTATAGTGAGCCAGGTACTCTGAGGAACACCTCTGTTGCCAGAAACGAGATTTTTTAAGCGTTACTGAGACAGAGATGGCATCCCCCAAGCAACAAAATAAATAAATACATAGATAGATAGATAGTCCCTAGTGCCACACTGCAGGAAAGGCAGAGTTGCCCTAAGAACAGATACCACTAACAGTACTGATACCTAAATACTTAGAGGTAGGGCAGCATCAAGATGAGGGCTGAGGCCTACACTGTTCACACTGAACCTCAAATTTCAAGGAAAACTGAAGTAGGCCAAAGTTGGCTATGCCGCCTAGTTACCAGCAGTAGCAAAGATAAAACCTCCCTGAAGAAAATACCACCAATTTAAAACACAGAGCAAACACAGGTTAAGATCAGGTAAAGAGCTCATACTTAAAAATCACCAAACACTCATGAAAGTCGTGAGATGTTTGAACTTAAAATATACAGAAAAGCTAACTATTGATTCAGAAAATAAAGAATATAATCACAATGGTAAGCCAACACCAAGAAACTATCAGGAATAGACAAGTAGAATACATTTGGCAGAAGAAGGGATGTGGGTGGTGCACAGCTACTTGGCTGGCCTGGGAGTGTGCCTGCCAGAGGTGGCCCATGGGGCTGTTTCTTGGACCTGAGATATGGGCACATAACTGCTCAGCCAGCCTGGGGGCATGTCTGCTGGGGGTGGCCAACAGAGCTGTTTCTCAGGTCTGGGACACACAGGCAAGGCTGTCCAGTTAGCTCAAGGGAGTGCCTGCCAGGGGCAGTCCCCAGGGCTGTTTCTCAGGTCTTGGACTTAGGCGTTTGGCTGCTTGGTAATGCTCTAGTTTTGGGGTTGTGTGATAGCCATCAAGAAGGCTCCAGTGATCCCCATGTCTTTGCATTTACCCTTTTTTGTAGTATCCTCCACGGTGTCCCACAGTTAAGTCTGTGTGATCAACAGGACAGAAGTGATGGCATGTCACTTCTGAAACTAGGTTATAAAGACACTGAAACTTCTGTCTTAGTGGCTCTCTCTTTCAAATCATTAGCTCTGGGGAAAGCCATCTACCTACTATATCAAGAACAGTCCCATGGAAAGGCATAGCTGGTGAAAAACTGAGGCCTCCTGCAAAGGGTAGGAAGGAATGGAGGCCTCTTGCCAACTGCCATGTACATGAATGAGTTTGAAAGTGTATCCTCCAAACCAGTCAAGATTTCAAATGACTGGAATGCCAGCAAACATTTTGATTAAAACCTCATTAAAGATGTAGAACCAGGCCGGGCACAGTGGCTCACGCCTATAATCCTAGCTCTCTGGGAGGCCAAGGCGGGCGGATTGTTTGAGCTCAGGAGTTCAAAACCAGCCTGAGCAAGAGCGAGACCCCGTCTCTACTAAAATTAGAAAGAAATTCACTGGACAACTAAAAATATATAGAAAAAATTAGCTGGGCATGGTGGCGCATGCCTGTAGTCCCAGCTACTCGGGAGGCTGAGGCAGGAGGATCGCTTGAGCCCAGGAGTTTGAGGTTGCTGTGAGCTAGGATGACGCCACGGCACTCTACCCTGGGCAATACGGTGAGACGCTGTCTCAAAAAAAAAAAAAAAAAAAAAGATGTAGAACCAGAAACTCCCAGCCAGGCCACTCTAGATTCCTGACCCCAGATATTGAATGAGGTAATAAATGTTTGTTGTTTTCATCTACTAAGTTTTAGAGTAATTTACTACACAGCAGTAAATAATAACAGCTTGGTAAGTTAGTTCCTGGGTAATCGTTATAAGATTATGTTTTATTTCATGTAAGAAACATGTAAATTATATACATTACTTTTCATGCGTCAAATATATTTCAAAGGGGAAATGAAATTGCAAATTTCTCCACACATTACTCACATCTGGTTCTTTAACAAAGAAATCCTTTGATAGCCTATAAGTGGATATTTTAAAGGAGGAGAAGAAAACTTTGGATCAAAATAAATTTTCAGCTTTTCTAAACTATGAAAGAGTAAAAAAAGAAAAAACAAAGAATTTCAGAACCTGAAGGGTATTTAAAAATGATCTACAACAACTTTCTTACTTTACAGAAGAGAAAATAGGTCCAGAAAGATCAAAGCATTTGTCTGAAGTAGATCTTATTTTCTAAATTTCTTTTACTAGAGCATGATGGGCATAAAGGATACTACATTAACATTTAACTTACGCCTCTAGAGTAGGGGTCCCCAACCTAGGATGAGTTGTATAATTATTTCATTACATATCACAATGTAATAATAATAGAAATAAAGTGCACAATAAATGTAATACGCTTAAATCAACCTGAAACCATCCTCCCCTCCCTAGTCTGTGGAAAACTGTCTCCCATGAAAATGGTCCCTGGTGCCAAAAGGGTTGGGGACTGCTACTCTAGAGGTTCAAACCTGCCAAAATAAATGTAGCTACATTCCCAAAGGAAAACAAATTTTAAACCTAAAGTTTTAAAGACTTTCTTGAATTTACTGCTTCCCAAAGAGTCTAGAGCTCATAGCAAAAAGTGACTAAGGTAGAAGCCCAGCAAAGGAATGAATGATAAGCAGGAAATTTTAAATAGTGGTTATCTCTAGGTGTAAAGCAGAAGGGTAGGATACAGGGTACAAAGTTAGATCCAAGTTATTAGTCATGTTCCAGTTCTTGGGTTGAGAAGTGAGTATATGAATATTTATGATATTTTTATGCTTTCTTATCTGTAACCTATACTATCTTGCATAAATATAGTATTAAAATGAAAAAAATGTATATATCCTTCAAAAAATCTGAAGAATTCCCTTGACATGAATATGAGAGCACAGCCAGCCACAGTGGTTCGTGCCTGAGGTCCTAGCTACTCGGGAGGATCACTTGAGCCTAGGAGTTCAAGGCTACAGTGAGCTATGATTGATTGTACCACTATACTCCAGCCTGGGCAAAAAAGTGAGACCCTCAAAGAAAAAAAAAAAAATTATGAGAGCATAAAGAGTTTTTAAAGAATAGGAGACTTTATAAAACTGGCCCTGCTGACAAGGTAAAACAGAAAAAAAAACAGATCTTGGGTCCAAATAGTTATTCTACGCTAAAGCAAATTGGTTAGGCACAGCTCTTGGAAAAGGCTAGAAAGTATTGCTGTAGTATTACAAATTTCAAGTTCTGAAATGAACGTTGGTTCCAATGTGGAAGGTAAATGGTGCTGTGAACAAGTATTTGTGTTCCACGAAGTAGCTAATTTTAAAATAGCTATTCATCAATTATTTCATACCATCTCACAGAAGCTACTTTTAAAGTATTATGGAGAGTTTCTTTTCAGAAATATGGAAAGAGTGAGAGTATCAAAAACCATACACAGTTCCCCACTAGTCAAGTATTCTATTTATTATGTAAGTAAATAAATAAGCATAGGCTCTCAATCATACATTTAAATTTTTAGATTTTGTATTTCAAAGGAAATTGGAAGTCTAATATTACCTGAAACAAGACTTAATATAAAACTACAGTAATCAAAACATCATATTGGTAAAAGGACAAGCAAATAGATCAGTGGAACAGAACAGAGAATCCAGAAATAGACATACATATATGTGGTCAATTGATTTTAAGGAAATTTGTTTTTAATGTGTTAAAAGAAACTCAACAAAATGCCTGTGGACCTTACATGGATCCTTAGTGGAATAAATCAACTCTAAAAAGATACCTTTTTAGACAACTAGAAAATTTTGATGTTAATTTGATATTATGTGATGCTAACAAGTTATTTTGTTTGGTGTGATAATGGCATTGTGGTTATAACGTATGTGTCTGTTAGAAATTCATTTCCAAGTGCTCCTAAGGCGAAATATAATGTCTAGGATTTGCTTTGAAATCTTGCAGGAAAAAAAGGAAGAAGGTGACCAAAAAAAATGAAACAAAATTGGCTAAATGTTGATCATTTGCTGCAGCTGGATGATGAGTCCGTACCTCTCTTAACTCTCTTGTCCCTTAATTCTTTATGTTGGAGAGTTACACAAAAAAAGATTTTTTTTGTAAACAAAAGAAGTAACCACAAAAAGCATTTTTTTAAATTATGAAACATGAATAAGGTAAAATATAATGTAATCATTAAAACATATCCTGCACTATTTTATTGAATGGGAAAACATTCATGATATAATAATTGAAAAAATAATAATTAGACTTCTAGTTTCCACTCCAACATGTGAAGTGCTTGGAAGCCATCACTTCCATCCTAAAGCCAAGGAAAAAACTACATAAACTAAAAATCAACAACTCTGCTTAGCTCCACCAGAGAACTAAGGTCACAGAACAAACCATCACCTGAAAAAACTGAAGAAACAGGCAAATTCAAAGAATCACAGCTTACTGAGAACAGAAGCCTCTAGAGCCTAACCAAACTACTAGAGGCTGAGTGTGTATCAGCTTCATCTTAGAGGGCCCAATCTTAAGAAGACCTCCAACACTTTTATAAGTTTTACCTTCAGATGCCCTACCATATTCTCACAGTGAAGATCAGAGAAAAATCCCCTCATGCTTTGGACAGGGGGAGGGGGAAAGTAACCATTTTGACGTATGCCCAGAGCATTCTAGTCTACTCAGCAAAGGCCTGCTCTCAAGAAAAACTACTTTACCAGAGACTTGTCTGGCCTAGAGAAAGAGCAATTAGACAAATGAAGCCCCTCTAGCCTTCCCATCTCAAATAAGGGAAGGAAAAAAAAACAGCTAAGAAACTCTTCTGAAGGTCCCAACCAAGGACTCTGACCCACTAAAAAAATGGAGATTAATCATAAGAGTATAGGACACTTCCCCTCCCCTAGTATAATAACAGTAGATTACAACTGAGAGAGCTCCAAGACACAATCTCTATTTAATGAAGAGTTTCTAGGGAAAGTCAAAGACAACAGAGGATACAAAAACAAGAACAGAGAGGTAACTGAAGCCTCTGATTCCTACAGCTACAGCAAATAATAAACACAGCCTAATTCCTAATGAGATAAAATCTCACACAAAAGGCCTAATTACCTAATTATTCCTATTACCCAATACATCATGTTTGACTTTCAACAAAAAATTGCAAGGCATGCTAACAGGCAAGAAAAAGCACAGGCTGAAGAGATAAGGCAAATATCAGAACCATATTTAAATATGGCAGAGATTTGGTAATTCTCAGACTGGGAATTTAAAATAACTATGATTAATACGCTACGGACTCTAATAGGAAAAGTGGACAATACACAAGGACATATGGGTACTGTAAGCATGAAACTCTAAGAAAGAATCAAAAGAAAATACTAGAAATCAAAACCACCGTAAAAGAAATGAAGAATCAGTGAGCTTGAAAATACGTCAATAGAAACTTCCCAAACTCAAATGCAAAGAGAAAAAAGAATGAGAAAAATGTGACAGAATTATCTAAGAACTGTGGGACAATTACAAAAGATATAGCATGTGTGCAATGACAACCTAAGAAGAAAAAGGAAGAGAAGCAGAAGAAATATTTGAAGGCTGATGGTTGAGAAGTTTTCAAAATTAACGAGACACCAAACCACAGATCAAGGAATGTCAGAGGACACAAGGCAATATAAATACCAAAAATATCCACCTAAACAGATCATATGCAAACTGCAGAAAATTGAAGAAAAGGAGAAAATCTTGAAAGAAGCCAGAGGAGAAAAAAAAACACTTTACTGATAGAAGAACAAGGGTAAGAATTATGTTGAAATTCACTTCGGAAACCATGTAACCAAAAGGAAAGTGGATGGGAAATACAGGCATATCTCGTTTTATTGCATGCTCTTCACTTTATTGCATTTTGCAGACACTACGTTTGTTTACAAATTAAAGATCTGTAGTAACTGTGTCAACCAAGTCTAACAGCACTATTTTTCCCACAGCATGTGCTCACTGAGTGTATCTATGTCAACATTTTTTAATAATAAAGTATTTTTTAATTAAGGTATGCATACTGTTTTTGTAGACCCATGCTATTGCACACTTAGACTATTGTATAGTATAAACATAACTTTTATATGCACTGGGAAAGTAAAAAACTTGTGACTCACTTTATTTACAATATTGGCTTTATTGCGGTGGTCCAGAACCAAACTTGCCATATCTCCAAGGTATGCCTGGTATTTAAAGTGTCAAAAGGAAAAAGTCACCAACCTAGGATGATGTACCCAGTGAAATTATCCTTCAAAAGTAAAGGATTGGCTGGGTGTGGTGGCTCATGCCTGTAATCCTAGCACTCTGGGAGGCCAAGAAGGAGGAATGCTTGAGGTCAAGGGTTCGAGACCACCCTCAGCAAGAAAGAGCAAGACCCTGTCTCTACTAAAAATAGAAAGAAATTAATTGGACAACTAAAAATATATAGAAAAAATTAGCCGGGCATGATGGCGCATGCCTGTAGTCCCAGCTACTCGGGAAGGCTGAGGCAGGAGGATCACTTGAGCCTAGGAGTTTGAGGTTGCAGTGAGCTATGATGATGTCACTGCACTCTAGGCCAGGTGACAGAGTGAGACTCTGTCTCCAAAAAAAAAAAAAAAAAAAAGATTACAAAAATAGAAAGACAAGCTAAAGACTGGGAAAAAAATGTTCACAAAACACATATCTGATAAAGGACTTGTTTCAGAAATATACAAAGAACCCTCAAAATTCAAGAAAACAACTTGACTAAAAAATGGGCAAAATATCTGACTAGACACCTCATCAGAAAAGATAAATAAATTGCAAATAAGCACAGGAAAAAATGCTCAACACCATAGGTCATTAGGTAATTGCAAATTAAAACAATGAGATGCCGCTACACAGCTATTAGAAAGACTAAAATCCAAAATACTGGCAACAAATGCTGGCAAGGATGTGGAGCAGTAAGAACTCTCATACATTGTGGGTGGGAATGCAAAATGATAAGCCACGTTGGAAAACAGTCTGGCAATTTCTTACAAAGCTAAACCTAGTCCTACCATACTATCCAGCAATCATGCTCCTTGGTACCTAGCCAAACAAGTTGAAAACATGTTCACACAAAAACCTGTACACGAATATTCATAGCAGTTTTATTGATAAGTGCCCAAAACTGGAAACAACCAAGATGTCCCTCAACAGGTAAATGAACAAATTGTGGTACATCCACACCATGGAATATTATTAAACAATAAAAAGAAATGGGCCGGGCATGGTGGCTCATGCCTGTAATCCCAGCACTCTGGGAGGCCGAGGCAAGCAGATTGTTTGAGCTCAGGAGCTCGAAACCAGCCTGAGCAAGAGCGAGACCCCGTCTCTACTAAAAATAGAAAGAAATTAATAGGACAACTAAAAATATATAGAAAAAATTAGCCGGGCATGATGGCGCATGCCTGTAGTCCCAGCTACTCGGGAGGCTGAGGCAGGAGGATCGCTTGGGCCCAGGAATTTGAGGTTGCTGTGAGCTAGGCTGATGCCACGGCACTCTAGCCCGGGCAAAAGAGTGAGACTCTGTCCCAAAAAAAAAAAAAAAAATAGAAATGAGCTTCAATCCCCCAGGCATTCAAGAGGAAAAGGAGAGAAATGATTAGGTGAAGCACAGGGATTTTTTTAGGGCAGTGAAACTATTTTGTGTGGTACTGTCACAGTGGATACATGACATTATGCATGTGTGAAAACTCATACAACTCTACAACACAAAGACTGAACCCTAGTATAAACTATGAACTTTAGTTAATAATAATGGATCGATATTGATTCATCAGTTGTAACAAACATACCACTCTGATGCAAGATGTTAATCACAGGCTAAACTGTGCAGGAGGTGAAGTATATGGGAACTCTCCGTACTATTTGCTCACTTTTTCTGTAAACCTAAAAATGCTCTAAAAAAGTATGTCTTTAATAATAATTATTCTAAAACAGTAAGAATGCTATTACCCCATTGTGTTAAAAATATGTATGTATGTCTATCTATGCAGAGAAAAAGAGCGAAAGTTTACTTTAGTATGATAGAATTATAGGTCATTTCTAATTTTTTTCCTTTACATTTTTCTAAATTTTCCATAATGAACACAAATTACACATAATGCTTTTGAAATTAGAAAGAAAACAATTTTTTTAAGTATTCAGAAAATTAAATACTTTTGCAAAGCTTACTACACACATATTTGTGGGTAATACCACTGAAAAATACAAGCTTACCCTCAGGCATAACAGTCTGAGTCATCCGTGATCCAGCAGCAGGGGCAATAGTGTTACAATGAATGTTGCTTTTACTGCCTTCAATTGCAAGAGAATTTGACAGGCCCAGAAGACCCAGCTTTGCAGCACTATAATTGGCCTGGCCAAAGTTGCCATATATTCCTGAAGCTGATGAAGTCATAATGATCCTAAAAGGAAAATCAATTGCTCAATATCATTTTTTTATGTTTTAATAACATTGCAACTCTAATTCTATTTTGGTACTACTGCACCTATCAAAAGCAATTCTGTGTACTTCCATTAGCTTTTCACAGTCACGATCCATATATCTAAAATTATATTAATATATAAGTAATCTTTCTAAATTCAACTACAAGATTTAATTGTTTTAAAAAGATTTAATTGTTTTAATTGTTTTAAAACTCATCAGAACTAAATGAGTTTAACTATAAGAATGTATATTCATTATCTATCAAAAACAACAAATATTTATAAACATAAAATAAATTGTCAATATGTAAGTTAAAGTTAAATTTTCAGCAAGAAATATTAGTTCGAGCAGTTTTAATTCTTCGGTCCTCATCACTTGACCTCTCTCCTTTCCTGGATAATATTAAATGTCTCATTAATACGATGCCATCTCATAATATTTACCCAACCTCACTCCACTTAGACCAAGTAAAATAAATCACACTATCTATTCTCAGAAACTGCTAGGATCAGGATAAACTAGAAATCTCCAATGAAAACAGGCATCAAAACAATTTGCTTACAGTAGGTGAGTATGAACCCTAAGTTAACAGGAATGACCTTGACACTAGACTGCATAGAGGGCACGAATTAAGTGTACTAGCACCGCCACATTCTGAGTTACTCACAGAGGAGTGATCATGAGAAGTCCTACAGTTCCCAGTTTATAAAGACTAACTCATGTCTGACCAGTAGCAGTTAGCACGAAATAGCCACCTGTCTCTCTCTCTCCAGTTAGTCACTGGATACACAAAATGACATGCTGGTTGCAGAATAACGTACAGCTGAATCCTCAATGTTTGTACTACTTTCTAAAATGCCAGAGAACAGCAATAAAATCCTTAATAATAAAAAGTAAGCGGTAAAAAAATATATATAAAGCTGTTCAGCTCAGCTAATCTGTGATTAAATGACACCAATTTAATGAGTGGGTAAGTACCAAAACTACATATTAAAAGCCTGTACATATCTAAAGATGTTTTTCTCAATGTCAAGCAATCATTGCATAACACTTTGTATAATCTTTCCCTGTGCACAAGAACCCACACACACAACAATTACCATCCCCCCGACAGCCACACGCAACTCTACCTTCCATATTGCTGTTTCTTCATGTGACCCCATGCTGCCCGGGTCACTTGGAATGAGCCCCGCAAATGAACTCTGTGGATTATATCTAAAACAAGAAATAATTTTTATTATACATTTTGTCAAAAACTAGATAGGCATGTCTCAGAATGAACACAAGCAATGGTATACTTATACAAAGATGTTCATTTTATACTTAGTATTCAAAATCACCTATCATCACACCTGTTTCTGATTATTTTGCTTTTGTTCCAATTATGCTGCCAATAGTTCGTACCCAGACTTATCAGTTTTCCCCATAATTTATAAAATTATTGTAATTCCTATATAAATCTAAATACAGTGGCATCTTTAATTTATGCCCACTTTACATAAATATATGCTAATATAAATATCCAGGAGTTTTACATATATAACTGGCACTAAACATTAACATCAGTTAAAGCATAACCATAAATCACATAGTTCATCACCAAGAAATATTTATAAAATACTCACTCTATACCTATTGTTACCGAGGTTTTCAAATGAGTTACAGAAAAAGGGGAGGGAGGCAGACCTGTTTGCAGAGATTTCAGCCTAATGAATACACCACTTAGGAAATGTTCAGATAGATAACTTTAGATTTTACTCCTTAATTGTCAAGTTTTTTAACCATTCTTACTTATTTTTGTTGAAACAAATGTTTTCACATGTATATCAGAATAATTTAAGAGTGGAAAGAGGAACTTAAAAAAACATAAAGAAAATAGTCAGGAGTGGTGAGCTTAGGGATGGAATCAGAGAAGGAAACATTGCAGTTCCATTGCAGCTCCAAGAAAAGAACCAACATTAAGCAACCCCTTGCCAGCAAATATCATCTTTCTCAGCTTCTTTTTCACCCCAGTTGTTATAAGGGAAGAGGAAACTAAAGCTCTTCTTAGCTTAATTCTAAATCACAAAGATATTTTGCTTCTTCCAAAAGAACTTCTGGCCATATTCCCCAGAGGCACACTCTATAAACAACCATACAATTGTTTCACCTCAGTTTCCATGCTTGCCACTGTCTCGGCCACCACTGTTTGTTTTAGTTCTGATGGCTGATGAAAAGTAAGGACAAAGAAGAGCAAAAGAAAAAAAACTTGTAACGTGATTTGTTCATTAGCTAAACTCAATCTTTCGAACATGGCAAAGAAAAATGGAAATCTTTCCTGTTTATTAGAAACTTCAAAATTACATCCAGATTTTGTCCTCAGATCTCCCATCATTTTAAGTGCCCTAGACTCTTTTCCATATCCTGCTTCTGCTCTTGGAAAAAGAATCACACAGCTAGACAAGTACGAAGAATGTTAGAGTTAATACTTCTAGAAAATGCTGACAACCTTTTAAGGAGAAAAAGGAGGAAACAAATTTAAAGAAATAAAATCCTTTTAGGTAATTTCTGCCAAATGATTTAACATTTTTTAAATTTATTAAATGTTAAAAAAAAAAAAGCTACTTCTAACTATTCATCACTTTTAGTATAGACCTTATTCATCATTTATATTAGCAACAGCAAAAGTAGGTAGAAACTGGTCTTTCCTTAAATGTATAAATTTATCAAATATTAAAAAAGCAAAATGGACAGGTATGTTCCACAGAGACATATATTAAAAACAACTTACCCCAGTCTTCATCACTTATCCTAGCAAAGGAACGGTCCCTCAGAATTCTAAAAAATTGATATTGTATAGGGTAAGAAAGTGAGAGGGGGGCAGTATACACTTAAAAAAATAACTACATGCACATTAGTTGTATAGAGCACCTTTGACATAAGTAACTCCATCTTACATTTTAAAAGACATCACACCAGCAGGGACCAAATGTTTGCCTAAAAATAAAGACAGACTCAACCAAACAAGGGTGTAATCTTTTACCATCAGCCCTCACCAGAGGACTCAGGGACTTAAAAAAAAAAACAGGATTTCACCAGTTTGACATGGCTGTCTGAAGACCATCTTGCAGTCACTCATGATCAGCACACAGCATCTGCCACTGAAGGCTCTACTCAAATCAAAGACTTTTCCCTACCCAAATCAAGGACTCTGCCTTTCAAGACATTGACAACCATCCAGATCAGCCCAGGACATTCTCTTTGTCCATGTCTCTCTCTTGGACTAGTTTGTTAACCCCTTTTCCTACAGCCCTTTCTCTTAATGTTATATGTTACTCTCTTAAATCTATAAATTAAAAATTTTAATCTAAAACAATTATATATTTATTAAGTATACTACTATGCACAGTTTACAATATTGACTGACTTACGGATAGGCTTGGGCCTATATGTCTGTGACTCTGATTACCGAGTGAATGGGTAGCACTAGAAAACATTGCCTCCTTGGGAACTCCATATAGCTAGCTCATGGCTTTCCTGATTAAATATGCGTGAATAAAAATGTGGCCTTGTAAAAAGACACAAACATGCATGGACCTGGTTATATCTGACCTTGCACTACTGATGACATTACTAAAAATGAAAAAAGAAATACTTACCCAGCATTGTTGACCACAACATCTACAACACAAAAAGATCCAGTCATAAATATAAAAGCAAGCATATTAACTTGCATTTGCTTACAATTCATATTTCTTTCAAAAATAACTTTTTTCCCCCATGTAAAAGTAAATATAATAAAGAGTGCTATCAAAACAGAAGTTTATACTTATGGCAAAAAAAATTTTAATTCACAAAAGATGGATAGCATAATGTATCAGTGCCTTCCTCTTAAACTTAGAGATCTAAATTTTCTCATCTCTACTTTCTATTGAAATTCTATCAGCCTACTTATAGAATTAGCTGTTGCACAACTCTTAGGTTCTGAGGATTCAGAACCATAAGCCATCCTTCATTTAACCCCAAATTCACTTAGGAAATTAAAAGTTTAAAAGATTGTTCCTTACCACTCAAAAGTAAAAAGCCCAAAAATAAAACAATTAGAAAAACTCATGCTGCACCTTGATACATAATTATATTCTTACTATGCAGAGAAAATAATTATTTTTTAAGGTTTAACCACCATCTTGTGGCTATTTTCACCCTATGACTTCAAAACTTTATGGTCTCTATCCTTCTGGTAGATGATATGTAAACATGGTTCTTATGAGCCCAATCAAACATAATTAGAAAAATAAATGTGCTGGACCAAATACAAAAAGAGGAGAGCACACTCAATTTACTATAAGTAATGTTTCCAGGCTGTAAACATGTTGAGCTTATCTGCTGTGATGCCTCCCTCTAGTAATTCACTAATCTTTTATTAAGAATGTATGGGACTTGGACGGGCACGGTGGCTCACGCCTGTAATCCTAGCACTCTGGGAGGCTGAGGCAGGCGGATGGTTTGAGCTCAGGAGTTTAAGACCAGCCTGAGCAAGAGCGAGACCCCGTCTCTACTAAAAAAAATAGAAAGAAATTAGCTGGACAACTAAAAATATATATATATATAGAAAAAATTAGCCGGGCATGGTGGCACATGCCTATAGTCCCAGCTACTTGGGAGGCTGAGGTAGTAGGATCCCTTGAGCCCAGGAGTTTGAGGTTGCTGTGAGCTAGGCTGACGCCACGGCACTCTAGCCCAGGCAACAGAGTGAGACTCTGTCTCAAAAAAAAAAAAAAAATGTATGGGACTAAACCGGAAAGATTATCTAGAGAAATACGGACGAAACAATATATTTGAAATGTTTCTTAAAAATAAAGATTAATTTGTAAGACATTAGATCATTTTCATCCAAATCATTATAATTATCCAAAAGAATCCACTGGGTCCTATATTGTAAAAATACTGACTTACATTTTATCTTATAAACATATATGAGATTTAATTGGATTATGATAAAAAAGGGCACTGAGCAAATGCTTGCAAGTTTTTTTAAGCACTTAAGGTGCAAAAAGCAATAAAAAACTCAACACAAATATCCATAAAGTTGTCACCTCAAGCCAATTATGAAATAAGGTAGGATAAAAATAATAATTAACTTATAATACAAATCTAAAAATTCAATTATGAAGAAAGAAAGATTTGCTTAATACAGAAAAGCAAACTTTAAAATATTTTATAAGAAAGGTAGAAGCTGCTCTGTAAGGAACATTAACACAAAGAAACATCACCTATTCTTCCAAAAGCATCCAAAGCTGTCTTCACAACCTTCTCTCCTGCTTCCACTGAATCTGAGGGAAAAGAAAATTAGTGAAAAAAATTTCAGCAATCTTCCTCACATATGACTTCCAAATTCTGTGGATCAAAGCACATGACAGATATACTATTCACCCAACAGAACTCATTTCCAAGAAAAATACATTTACATTACTAATACATAACAAATCAAAATACAGATGGTCTGATATCACAAAAGGAAATTAGCCCTTAGACAATTCTTTAACCTACAATAAAAAGGGGACAGAAGGGAGATGACTAAGAACTATTTGGCAAATACTATCTAAAACAGCACTGCCCAATAAAACTTTCTGTGAAGACAGAACTGTCCTATTTCTGTACTGTCCAATATGGTAGCCACTAACCACATGTGACTACTAAATCCTCAAAATGTGGCTAGTATGACAAACTGAATATTTCACTTTATTTAATTTATATTTAATTTTAAATAGCTACATAGGCACTTCCCCTTAAGGATACAAATGAGAATTTAGGAGAGGGGGAAGTACACACTTAATTTGGAAAAGCATGTTCCACATGTAACTACATGTGGAAAACAAATCTGCTGTTTCTGCAATACTAACTACAATAAGAAAAGCTCAACAAAATCTTATGGTTTTGTTAGTTTCCAGTAATCAGCTCAAGGGAAGGGCTCACATCCTCACAGTTGTGTGTGAAATGGTCTGCTGTCAACTCAACATCACTACTGACTCTTCCCTATTCTCTTCAATCACAGGGGAGGAGCCAGGAAATACAGTCAGTCCCTTCCCTGGGACAAACATAGTCCTGAGTTAGATCTGCCAGTAAGAGATCTCACCTAGAGGGTAGAAAAGTAGGAGAAGGCCACAGATACAGGCGATCTTATGAGCAGACTACAGATGTAAGATTAACAACACATCTAGGTGAGCTTTTGAGAACCACTGCGGGCTGAGACGGTTACCAAGGGTTTCCCTGACTTTCACTTGCCCAGTCAGTCCTTCCATTGGTTGTGTGAGTCTCTGATTCCCTACATTAAAACCCTCACACTTGGAAAACCTAATGGGGCTTCTGTTTTCCTTACTAAAACCTGACTGATACACGTTACATATCAGAACTAAGCGAAGGAGGAGTCTTGAATTTTTACCTTTAAAAAAGAGGTTTTTAAAACTCCATACACAGAATGCAATGCGTACCACCCGAAGGATGGACATATTTGAAACTTGGACTTGGGGGGGAGGGGGGGGCAAGGGCAACATACGTAACCTAAACATCTGTACCCCCATAAAATGCTGAAATAAAAAAAAAAAAAGTTGAAAACATTTTTGTTAGATCTCCAATGTGAAAAAACATACTAAGATGTCTAATTATTCCCTCAAACATTCAAACCATACCCTATTTCTTTTCCCTTAAAATTTCAAAATGAAGTCAATCTAATGTTATCCCTGGCCCATAAAAACAATCTAATCTGCAGAAGTAAGCACTAGCTTTTTAAAGTAAATCTACTCAACAAGGATCCTTACAAATACTATTAGGATCAATACATCAAATGCAAAGGTTATATTTACTGCTTTTTCTCATGGCTTTATTTAATGCCTAACTTTGACTCTTAAGTTTTTACAAAGATAAGAAAGTTACACATAGGAGTGACCATTTGTACAGAATGGAATGTGGAGGCTGGGCACAGAAATGGGGCACTTTATTTCCTATATTATATTAAAAACAATTTTAGCCAGGCTTACACCTGTAATCCTAGCACTTTGGGAGACCTAGGTGGGAGGACCACTTGAGCCCAGCAGTTTGAGACCAGCCTGGGCAACATACCGAGATCCCATCTCTACAAAAAATAAAAAAATTAGCTAGGCATGACATGCGCCTGTAGTCCCACCACCTGTAGTCCCAGCTACTCAGGAAGCTGAGGCAGGAGGATTATTTGAGCCCAGGAATTTGAGGTTGCAATGAGCTATCATGATGCCACTATCCTTCAGCCTGGATGACAGAGCAAAAAAAAAAAAATTAAAAGAATAATTTAATATTCTGTAGAAATATATAAGACTTTTTAACTAAAACAGTTCTTATACGAACATATCCATACCTACAATAATTTACTAATTATATCATGTGCTCATTAATAAAAACATTAAACAAACAACAGGACAAAAGTTAGGAATCATATGAAATAATCTACATCAAAAGTTTAGGCTAGGCGAAGTTGCTCACACCTATAATCCTGGTACTTTGGGAGGCCAAGATAGGAAGATGCCTGAGGCCAGGAGTTCAAGACCAGCTTGGGCGAGAGAGAGATTCCATCTCCACAAAAAATAGAAAAATCAGCGAGGCATGGTGGCGTAAAGCCTATAGTCCCAACTACTCAAGAGGCTGAGGCAAGAGGATAGCCTGAGCTCAGGAGTTTGAGGTTGCTGTGAGCTACTATGACGCCACTGCACTCTATCCCAGGCGACAAATTGAGACCCTGTCTCAAAAAAAAAAACAGTTTAAAAAATTTTCACATATTATATAAAATATGTGCTTAAAGAGCTTTGGCAGGCTTAGATAAAATCTAATTTCATGATTACACTGGAATGCTGCAATATTTGCTCAAATACTATTAATGTGACCAACAGTATTATTAGTTGAAGGAAAATAAAAGAAATAGTATAGTTCTCCCAAATACCATACCATAGTTGGCCACTGCTTTTCCACCTTTCTTTCTTATTTCTTCAACAACCTTATCAGCAGCCAATGAGCCTTTACCAACTCCCGTGAAGTCCCCTCCTAAATCATTCACTGTAATGAAAAAATAAGCAAACAATAATTAATTTCTAGACCTTCAAAATAAAAGTTGAAAATGAAACTATAATTATTAGTTATTTCTTCAGTCATCTGCTCAATTCCTTCCTACCCTACCCCCACCTTACTAAATACATCATATGTATTCTCAAAACATGCCTCTTTGTTTTTGACTATAGACATAAAGGAACAGCAAAAATACTTAAACACAGGTTCATGTCATAAAATTTTTTAACTTTGCAATGTTTTACCTCTTTAAAAAAAAAAAAAAATGACCCAACCCATTACTTGGCAAAAAACTAAGAAAAGAAAAAATCACCTTAGGATTAAATACACAGGAAATCAGTTTGGACGTTCCTCAAAAAATTAAAAGCAAAATTGCCATATGATACAGCAATCTCACTTCTGCGTCTTTATCCAAAAAATTGAAATCAGAAGAAAAAAGAACTAAAATTCTTTCAAATATCACTCCAATGTTCACTGCAGCAATATTCACAATAGCCAAGATGTGGAAACAATCTAAATGTCCATCGATGGATGAGTGGATAAAGAAAATGTGGAATATATGTGCGATGGAATATTACTCAGCATTTAAAAAGGAAATTCTGCAATATGCGTTAACATGAATGAACCTGGAAGACATTACCCTAAATGAAATAAGTCAGTCACAAAAGGACAAATACTACATAATTCCACTTACATGAAGTATCCAAAATAGTCAAACCCACAGTATCAGAAAATGGAATGGTGGCTGCCAGGGACTAGGGAGAAGTTGGAAATGGGGAGTTGCCCACCAATGGGTATAAAGTTTCAATGATGTAAGATAAATAATTTCCAAAGATCTGCTGCACAATATAGTGCCTATAAGAATATTGTATTATACATTTAAAATTTTTGTTAAGAAGGTAGATTTCATATTAAGTGTTCTTACCACAATAAAATAAAAAAATGAAAATATTAAATACACAGTGTAAAATATCTTCTCCATGTCAAGAAAGTCTTTTTACAGGAACGGTGATAAAAATCAAGCACGATCTTAAAATATTAGACAGAGAGGCACATTTGTAAATTTTCAGAAAACATACTGTGTCATGGTGTAGAATAGAATGACATAAAAACCACTTATTAAAAGAGGTCAAAAATTACATACAAAACTAATATGTGTCTAGCCACTACTTTATACCACAACTCCATCTTTGTATGTTTAACAACTGACCATACTTACCACATAACATTTCCCTATATTCAATTACACAGTTACAAACATTAATTGAGCATTTACTGCTTGCAAGAAAATGTACAAAAGGACACATTAATGTATAAGAATGGTGCTTGTCCTCAAAAATTTTATAATTTATTGAAAGTTATATATGTGATGATCATAGTAATACACAGATTTTAGCATAAACCATATATCAAGGCCAACATAACCAAATAATATGGACAAATAGCAAAGTTAATTTATATAATAATTTAAGGCAAATTTTATAAAATAACATGTAAAAATTAATGAAAAGATATATAGATTGATGCCAATTAACTTGGAAAAAACAGAATTTAAGAAAAATACTTGGGACAAAGAATTTGCATCATGAAATGATCTTTTTCATAGGGTTATTGCATAGATTTTGAGGATTATAACAAAGAAATTACTAATTAATAAATGACATGGTGGTATATACTAAAATTTAACGTTGAGGATTAACACAATTTTAAATAAAGATTTTTTTTTTCTCCTGAAGAATAGCTCTTTTTTGAACTGGGGTGAGAGTTGAAAGTGGGATCAGGTAGTTAAATAGGCAATGGGATGACACAGAGAAAAAAACCAATGCCTACTCTCACTGAAAATCAGCTAGGTCAAATATGTTTTCACTCAACTTTTTGTTTTTACAGGCAATTAGTTTTTCAAACTGTGGACTGGGATATAATTTTTTCTGACAATATAATATTATCGTTCTTACTCCAAATAAAAATTGCTTCAAAGACACATAATAATGGAAAGAGGCTTATATTATCCCTCACGAGATTAAAAAAAGTGAAAAGATTCTCAAAAGACTGAATTCCTATTAATTGTTCATTTCCATGCAATTATTCAAATTACAAAAAAAAAATAGTTTAAAAAATCAAGATTTTAAGACCTTTTTAAAATAAGTACAGGAAAGTTCAAAAACAAATTGGAAAATGTGATATTTAAGAAAGACTTATTCAATGAAACACTACCCCCAAGTGGAAATTACACAAAGTGCAACCAAACAGGTAAGCATCGAAAGCTGGATAAAGGATTTGTTGAGATCAACGATGTACAGTTAAACAGTATCAGAATAGATTTACCTACAAGTCTCTACATTACAGAGCACTAAATTAACACTGACCCCATTCAGTCATCTCATTATCAACACAGCTAAATTACTGGGATGAAAACCTTAACCAGAAAAGCACTGGTTAGCACATCTACTGCCACACTAGGAAAAAAAATTTTTTCCCTTGAGGCCATGGTGTTTTATTATGAAAATAGAATAAAAACTCCCAAAACAAAATGATCCTTTCTAATTTAATGAAAAATTTATTATTTTTTATTGTTTTCTATGCATGAGTTATATGCAACTTGAAAAATAGTTCCCACAGCTCCCAAGGTGAGTTACATATGCTTCACAAGTCCCTGGGCTCAAAACTTGTGTGAGTGAAACACAACTCACATGGCAGTTAATGTGTTAGATGTCATCAAAATGGCTGACTAGAAGTGTCCAACCCTCACCTCCTCGACAAAGAAGGACCAAAACAACAAATAACTGCACTTTGAGTAGAGTATCTAAGACGGAACACAGGGATTCGGTGGGGAAATGCCAAAAACACTCTGAGGCACAGAAACACTAGAGGACAGCTTAGAGAAGGAAGCAAAGCACCCAGCTGGAATTGGCTCAAAGCAAAGAGGGAGGAGCTCCCCATTGTGAGGGAAAGGTAAGTGGGAAATCCCGAACAGTCATCATTGCCATCACAAATGCCTGCCATCCTGGCTACAGAAGAGCCCCACCGTGCTCGCAGGCCCTGAGCTCAGTATGGGTAGCTGCCCAGAGTTCACACAGCTGAATTGCTCCACAGAAGGAAGACACTGAGTGCTTTGCACTACCTGGGGCCCAAGCAGCAACAGCACAGCACGACACCATTTGAGAATGCAGCCACTGCTGGAATATATCCTGCCCTGGTGGCCTATTTAATAGCCCCCTGCATCTCCACATCCCTGGGACCCCACCTCATCCCATCATGTCCACACAGAAGGGTGAAGCACATGTAACTCACATGTCTCTTCACCCTGGGAGCCATGAGAACCTTTTTTCAAGTTGCATATAACTCATGCACAGAAAACAATAAAAAATAACAAATTTTTCATTAAATTAGAAAGGATCCTTTTTTTTCGACTTATATAGGAAACAAGCTACTTTATTTCTTAAAGTCTTACTTGTTACTAGCCTCTGAGCTAGTCATAGGATAATCTGACTGATCACTTTTCCAAAAAAGATACTCTGATATCATCATAACATTCTAAATTTGCTTCTTTTTCTTATTTTTGGCTTACTCAGGTAAAAATTTATGCTGAGCAGAAAAAACTTAACCGAGGAGAAATGTTAGTGCATGTGATGCAACCTGGAAACAGGGTATCTATGTGTGCATGTGAAAAAGCTAAAGTAGAAGCTAGTGGCCGTTAGGGAAGAACACAACCCACTGGTGGGTGGCCTAGAAAGTTCACAAATAGGACACAGACTAAAAAAGGGTAAAAAATATCAGTCAAAAGCCTGTACTTCCACATAGATTAAATTCTCCCCTTTAACACTAAACTAAATTTGGCCCTTCAGCCAATTTTAAGCAAATATTTTCTTCTGCCGTTTTTGGACTTTTATCAGGATTTGATGCAATATCATCTCTACGATAATGCAAAGAGAGAATACATAGACACATCATCCCTCTTTATTCACCTTTCTCTTAGACTTCAAACACTCTTAATGTGAACTTAACAAATTCAGAGGTAATAAGGAAATAAGGGAAAACTGATCCACCCAAACACACAGCTATAAATTTTTTTATAAAACAAATTTATAAATCAAGCTTATATCTTAGCCAAAACAAAAAACAGAAATTTATTCAACCAATCTCAGAGACATCAGCCCCTCACCCCCCAAAAAGCCTATATCAACAATAAAAGAGCCAATGAATAAAGTACCTTCTATGCACAAGGCAATATTATAGATCCTTTAGGAGATACAAGACATGAAACAAGATCCTTGCACTTACGGAATAGAGGAGAAAAATGAAAATAAATAAGTTATAAGGTAAAAATAATAAGAAATAGCAACATAAAAAGAGGAAAAAAAAAACAGTAATGACATGGGAAAATCTGGCAAAGAAGCCCTGAAATACACACAGCCCCCCATCCAAATATTACAATGTCAAAATTTGTCCTTGTCATAAGCAGCAGAATGGATTAGCTGATAGGCTATGATCTTAAACAAGGAATATCCAAAGTGTTGTGTTCCTTCTTTAAAGGTAAGCTACACATGCACACTGAGGGAGAAGAATATATCAAATGCCCTGCTTAGCCCTTCTTTGTTTTGAAAATCTAACTGCTGATTAATCATTTGTTAGGCATCTCTATAAACAAATTGAGGAAAATTTGTCTCACTGTATATCCTAGTAAGATGCAAGAAAACTGGAATCAGGAGGCCATTGTGGGCCAACAATTTTATCCCAGGAAAGATGCTTGTAAGTATTGGCTCGTAACGTCTGCCCCACACACACGCCGGCACTTCGCACTCCTTCAGTTATTCCCCACAAAGGCTTGGTTGTGGACAAATTTGTTCCTGTGTCCACACCAACTGCCAAGCACATCAGGTCAGTCCAAACCATTTAGATTACTAAGACCTCCCACTTTGGGGATTCAATACAGTATCTTCCAACTGATTTCCTCCTTATTATTAAACAAAAATTCATGAAACTGCCCCTTT